ATCAATTGTTAAGTCAAAATTTTGGGTGGCTAATCTTTGTCTTGAGCCAACCATCATAATTTCAGTTTTAGCGACATTCAATGTGAGTTTGTTTGTACACAGCCATTCTACAACACACTGAATATCACGTTCTAATAGTGATTTGATTTCTGGGATGCTACATCCTGATACATTAAGGTTTGTATCATCCGCAAACATTCTCGTGGAACTATGGGTAACACAACTTGATAAATCATTTACGTATATTACGTATAATAACTTACCTAGCATATATATGTTTGGGAAATTGATCATTTAGGGGAAGCCTCACATATCGATTTTGTCCATGAGAAACGTCATATGTTCGTTTCTCTGGAGACCCCCCCCACCCCCCCTTAGAAACGTCACACATAGTTATCGATATTTTGTTCTTACAGTACACTATGAGTACACATAAGGTAATTTTCTACTATTTTTTTTCGGTCGGCTATTGGCGATGCTTACTAAAACATGGAACGACCCACAACGACCCCACAACGATCCACAACGACCCACTACGAGCCCACAACGATCCACAACGATCCACAACGACCCACAACGACCCACTACGACCCACAACGACCCCACAACGACCAACTACGACCCCACAACGATGCACTACGACCCCACAACGACCCACTACGACCCCACAACAACCCACAACGACCCACAAGACCCCACAACGACCCCACAACGAGCCACGACGACCAAAACACCAGCCACAACAATGAACAATCCACAAGTTCACAACAATCCAACAACAATCTCTGCATGCGCAAGTGGAAGTCTTGCATTTCCCGCCAATTTTGATCACATGTAATAATAAAATACGTGGTGTATCCACAAACAATAACTTATATTGTTTATTGTCATGCAAAATTGCAACTGAAGGTAATTTTGGGATCGTTGTGGGTCGTTGTGGGGTCGTTGTGGGTCGTTGTTGGGTCGTTGTGGATCGTTGTGGATCGTTGTGGGTCGTTGTGGATCGTTGTGGATCATTGTGGGGCCGTTGTGGGTTGTAGTGGGGTCGTAGTGCGGTCGTTGTGGGTTGTTGCGGGTCGTTGTAGATCGTTGTGGATCGTTGTGGGTCGTTGTGGGTCGTTGTGGGTCGTTGTGGGGGTCGTAGTGGGTCGTTGTGGATCGTAGTGGGTCGTTGTGGGTCGTTGTGGGTCGTTGTGGATCGTTGTGGGTCGTAGTGGGTCGTTGTGGGGTCGTAGTGGGTCGTTGTGGATCGTAGTGGGTCGTTGTGGGTCGTTGTGGGGTCGTTGTGGGTCGTTGTGGATCGTTGTGGGTCGTTGTGGGTCGTTCCATGTTTTAATAACTACGCGGGCTTCCCGCCAAATGATGACGTGTGGGGTTATGGGATATGTTCACTATGTCCTGATAGTGATAGCGCTGGGCCACGTGTATGTATGCGTTTTAAAATTTTATTTGCAGATTGAAAATATGACTGATAACTCTGTCCTGGACATCGAAAATAAAAAAGATATGAAAACGCTTTACCTCATTTAAATAGAATAAAAAAATACTATCAATATTTATGCATTATATTATATGAAATGCAATTAAATTTACATTTTAAATTTAAAAATAAAAACGGTTTAAAAATAGATTTCATATCTGAAATCTAATTACAATGCAAAATAATATGAACTTCTGCAAAAATCCATGATAGCGATGGGCCACCATACTGCTATGCTATAATTAGATTGTTGTTGTCGTTGTGTCAAATTTAAATTTCTCCTGCGACATTTTGATTGGATACTTAAATATAAACTTTGCTGTGGGTGGAAAGCGATCAGGTTAAGTTTTGTGTCAGGCTCTATTTGTAAAATAGAGCCTGATACTCAGGTTATGTTTATTAAAACTTATGCTTGTTGGAAACATTTGGAAACATGAATAATTACCTGATATATATCTTCCATATAAATGTATTTGTGTATGTAGTTACTATCATACATGTATGGCCGTAATAAACACAATTTGCTTTTGAGCGTGAAATTGCACAATTTTTTTGCTTGGGACTATATAATAAACAGAACATTACACGGTGGCTTGAAGATATGACTTTTATCTTCTCGTCTTTCACCACTCGAAGATAAAAGTCATACCTTCGCGCCGCCGTGTAATATCCTCTATCTATTTTACTTTATCAAATACTGCAGGTTTTCCACTGGCACTTCTGTTTCCTCTTGCAGTTACGGTCGTCACCTTGGAACGGCTCTGGACCAAGGGAGAACAGTTCAGAACTGATAATTATGTAGTCTAGAATACATGCACATCAGAGTCTCAGACATATAAAAACGTCTTTAATAATCTCTTCTTCTAAAGCTTTAGTTATACAGGTTACAACCACTAAAGAGGCCTATAGGGAATACATTTTTTCATACATCATGCATCCAGTACCATGCAGATACAGCAATTGCTGAATTTCTCAACACAATTAGGCACAATTTGACCAAGTGCTGCAGTGCACAATGACAGTTGAATCCCCCCCCCCCCCTTATTTCCCAGAACAAAAATCAAAGAGCCCAATTTTTGCATGAGCTAATAATTAACAATCAGTAAATGTATGTATAAATTGAGATAGCGTTTTTCTATGCTGAGTGGTTATATTAGCACCTGAAATAAACAAGCAGAAACTCGACGTTTCGAGAGACTGAGGCCCTTCGTCAAGAGTTAGTAGCAGGGATTGGGGAAAATGCACAGGCTTTTATACTAAGAGTATGAAAGCATCATGTGACAAAAAATAAACCAATTAGACGGATTTAATCATAACAAAGTGTAAACAAAATATGTAAATCGCATTACTGACAGAATATATAATAAAAAAAACAAAAAATATAAAGGAAGCTAAGACAAAAAAAAATACAAGTGGGAATAAGGTTGTCAATGTGTGAGGACAGGTAAGGACAGATGGAATTAAACATAGGAAAAGCGTTCATTAATACCAGAGGGGTGAACAGTGCCAAGTTTGGATATGAGGCGCATTTCATGTCGTTTGCATGCTATCGTTGCTTCCAGAAATGGGACAGAGGGCTCGGATTACCATATCTGAAACACTGTGATTGCCATTATTAAAATGTCTGGCAACGGTTGGTTAGCATCATTGCCAATAACTGCAAGCCGATGCTCACCAAACCTTGTCCTTTTAAAAACATCTTCCAGTTTCCCCAATGTAAAGCATACCACATCTGCTACAAGAGACGCACTTTAGAAGTACTTTCTTCAGTGTTTTCTAGGTTGATGTACTTTCTTCAGTGTTTTCTGCAAGAGATGCACTTTTAGAAGTACTCTCTTCAGTGTTTTCTACTGCAGTAGGTTGATGTATTTTGCTCGCTCTTATTCAAACTGTGGCTATATAAAAGCGCTGTCTGGTGAATAGTCCGTTTTCCCAAGGTTTCTCATATTGGCCGTTAAATGGCACAGTATATATTTACGAATCAAGTTTTCAATTGATTTAAGGTGTCCATTTCCGTAGTTTCACAGCTTTTCTGGCATTTTTAGTACAAAACCTAATTTGATGTAGGGGCATATCATTATATATACTTTTCGTGTCTGGGGAAATTGGAGTGAGGTCACCTTGAAAATGGCTGAAACTTTTTAATAGTGCGTTAACGTTTATAGTAAAGCCAGGCGCACACACTGCGATTTTAGTCGGCCGAATAAGGTTTAGGTGTATGATATTGGCAAATCTGGCGATGTAGATGAGCCCACAGATCCTATCACTGATTGTTTTTGCTGAAAACATCCATCTAAACCTGAATCGGCCGACTAAAATCGCAGTGTGTGCGCCTGGCTTTAGGCCTATAATGAACTTCCTAGGAAACACAAGTCCTTCTATGGAGCAAAATTAAATATATTTCATGAGTTCAATATGATCTTCGTTCTATTTGACAATTGCTCGTCTTAGTTAATATTTCAGTTTTATCAGAATGATAACCTCGCTTAGACCAATCTATTGTTTAAAACATTTATTGAAAGCGGATTTCCATTTGACAACTACTGTATATATAGTAGTCTAATCCTTTTCAGTTTACCATGCAAATTAACTGGTATTTAAAAAAGCTCAACATGGACCATCCCTGACATAGGTGACTTTGCCATTGGTACGACAATTAGCAATACTCAAGAAACAACTATTGCTGTATGTCTTGCCATATGAACCACAAACTGGAATAAATATAGCTGGACAGACAAGTGCACAAACGCATGACGGTTGGTTTGTTTTGCGATCAATTTCACAAAATTTTCCTTTTGGGCATTTGATATCTCGGCAGGAATCTATGAAATAATGTAGATGAATCAGAACCTTCTATCTTCTACCCTTTACACAGACACATCAATAGTGCTTAGAAATGTTATCAGTTGCATGGTGGCTTTAAAAAGGATAAATTCCAGAATGATTTTTTACCAAATTAGATATCCAGTTCAATTCTCATAATGCGTGCGAAACAACAACCTCATTTGCAAATATTATTAATCCCAGTCCTTACCCTCGCAATCCCATTCTGAATCAGAAACATATTAATCTTTATGACGTCATTTCAGGATTAAAGTAAAAATGGAAATTATTATGGGTGACTTGTACTCGATACAGTGGACCACAGCATCTTACTCCACAAACTTAAAGCGATGGGTGTGTCATACAGATAGATAGATAGATAGAGAGATAGTTTGTTGAAATTTACATTGCAGCCATAAGCTGAATTAAGTAAAATTTACAAGAATTGATAAAAGAGAGGATCTTAAAACATGTTGGAGAATTCCACTATGCATTATATATGTACAAGTTAGAAAATACAATACCTAGATGCTAATTATGCCTAAATTAGGTTACGGTAAAAACTATTTCTGAAATGGTTCATTGTTTAAAACAGTTCTTGAACTGATCGTGTTTATACTTAGATTGCCTAATACTATTGTTAATTATGCCTTAATTGAATTACTGATGATAAAACTATTTCTATAACGGTTCGTTTTTACTCTTGGGTTATTGAATTTCGACTTTTTCCGTAAATTAAGCGAGATATTGTTTTTAGCAGGCAGTAGTTCGTGTATAATTTGTGTACATCATCGTTCATAATATTTAGGAAGACTTTGTTAGTAATCTGTTGGCGCCGTAGGAATAGGGAAGTTAGACCTGATAATAGTAGGGCATCTTCGTAAGATTCTGTGGGGTAGATGATTCGCATTGCTCGTCTTTGAATAGTTTCGAGATCACTCGAAAGATACGTTGGGAGACCATCGTGATACACTGGGCAAGCATATTCAATTAAAGATCTGATGCAGGATTAAAAAATTGTACCAATTCCAAACAACCCACTTTGGCGCGCTTTAACTGAGTTAGGAAGTACAATCTTTTTGAAGATTTTTTAACGAGTTCGCTAACATGATAATTCCATTTTAAGTTGTCGGATACATTCAGGCCCAGAATTTTGGCATGTGGGACAATTTCAAGGGGGCGTTATTTATCGTAACGGGTGGAAAGACTTTTTCCGATTTCGTAAAACTAATTCTCATTTCTTTACATTTGCGCTCATTCAGCACGAACTTTTCGGTTTTGGACTTGCGTACGAACTCATCTACGGTTGATTGGATATGACTTACTTCGTCTTTTTTAACAGTTTCGGAGATGTTTGAGTCGTCCACATATTTCCACATCACACCATTAGAGACATTTAAATCGTTAATCATGACTAAAAACAGCCATGGGCCCAATTTTGTTCCTTGCGGTACACCCGCGGGGACCGAGCCCCACTCCGAAACACAATCTTGGCAGAGTTTAACTCTTTGTTTGCGGTTCAACAAGAAATCTATTATCCAATTGACAACATTATTTGGAATTTCGTACGACACTAGTTTCTGAATTAAAATATCATGATCGATCAGATCGAAGGCCTTCTTGAAGTCGAACAATACGATCCTCACTGTTGCACTATTACCATCGGTGTCACAGTTCCATTTATGTAGCATGCTAATAAGTGCATAGGTGGTATTCAAGCCAGGTAATGTACCGAACTGTTGTGGGTCAACTTTTTTCAATACAGCTGGTTTTACAAAACATTCAACTACGTATTCCTCAGCGACCTTAGAGAGTACTGGAGTCAGAGATTGGTCTTAGATCTTTATTTACGTCATTGACAGGTTTTTGCTTGGGTATTGGTACTATATCGGCTTCCTTCCATGAAGGAGGTAAGCGAGACTCCAAGAATGAACAGTTAATAATCGACATTACTGGTCGTGCAAAAATATCGGCGTTCTCTTTTAAAAGCCAGCAGGGAATACCATCTGGCCCAGTTGCTTTGGTCGGATTTAGTGGTAACAGTTTCTGAAAAACTGATTGCTCTGTGACGGTAAATGGGGGTTCTTTATCGGTGGCAAGACGGACGTTGGGAGATAATGGAGAAAAGTCACTCATTGAGGCAAGGAATGCGTTGTTAATAACATTGGCAATATTAAGTGGAGTCGGTTCGACTGGGTCACAAACAACATGTTGTAGAATTGAAGTTATACTGTCACTTGACACTGCAGACATCCCACTAAGTTTCTTAATTTCCTTCCACCAACCGGAAGGATCACATTCTTTCAATTGTTTAACTCTTGAATCGTAATATTTTGAACGGCTTGACTTCCTCTCTCGATTAACTTGATTCCTAAGTAATCGGAAGGTAACCATGTCACCAAAGGACAAGGCTTCCTGGCGCGCACGTATCAACTTTTTAAGGTTTTCATTGAGCCATGGGGGCTCGTTAGCTATGATCGTTTTCCTCTTCATTGGAAGAAGGGAATTCATACCTGTGCTAACGATTTTTTCCAACATCGTAGTTTTTTCCTCACAAGAGATCTTATTATCTATCAAGGTTTGAATGTCAACAGCTTCCAAATATGTTCTCATTGCTAAACGTTTCGTTGGTCTAATGTCCCTTGTTTTGATGCTTGTTTTGGACTTGGACTTGGATGTTGTTGTTCGGGAGAGCGGTAAAACTTTAACCGTTACGTGATCGGAAAGACCGAGGGGAGAGAGGTTAGTGGGGGAAGCATAATAGTCTTTCAAATTAGTTAGGATGAGGTCCAAGGTGTTCCGGCCACGTGTGGGAAAGTTCACAATTTGCTTAAGCCTAAAGTTACGTTTGATTCTAGAGACGTTTAAGTTGTTAAAGTCTCCAAGCAGGATGACACCATTATTGGGAAAACGAGATTCGATTGTTGATAGACATTTTAATAAATGATCTAATATCTCTTGATTGTTAGCACTTGGAGGATGGTATAACGTTCCAATAATTATGCATGGAATTCCCCTTGGAAGACGAGTAGGGCGAATATGAACCCAGACGATTTCAAAATTGCTGTCTAAAAGGTCTTGTACAATGTTGTATTGAATATTATTCCTAACGTACATACAGACTCCCCCGTGTTGACTGTTAATTCTGTCAAGGCGAACCAACCTAAATCCTGACACATTAACAACGTTATCATCGATATGATCTCTGAGCCACGTTTCGGTAATACAAGCTATTTCTACATCACTATTGAGGATAACGTCGCGTAATTCATCTATTTTGGGCACCAATGACATAACATTAGATAGCATTAGGGAGGGAACGAACGTATGTTGGGAACCCGGCAAGTGTTTAATAGGAATTTTAATTAAATTATTTGGCCGGATGGAGTCATGTCGATATCGCACATTATATTTCTTATTAATTCGTTTCGAGATTATAACAGGAATTGTGCTTACTGTCTCATTGTCACACGAACAATTGTCAGGTAAACATGGAGTGGAGCTCTGTTTAGAAGGATTTAGTAAAATCTGTTTTGGTGGATCTGGGAGGATAATCGGGGAAAACTGGACGCGGGTAGTGGGATTTCCATTAACGGCCTTGGATAAGATGGGGGTCGCCATGGGTGTAGGCTGTACGTTTGGAGCTGCTGAGGTTGGGCTTTGTGGACGTTTGGTGGCAATGGCACTTGCGCTCGGGATAAAAAAGAGGCAGGTGGCAAATGGCTACTAGTAGTGGTTTTTAATACCGACCTTCTGGTTGGTACCCAAGCGTGGGAGAAATCACATCGATCGTCTTTTAGACAGAAGCCTCTGTTCTGCAAAAACGGACAGGGGACATTATGTTTATGTGTATTGCGAGATGGTTTAAGATGCTGAAAGTCGCATCGGTTTCCCTTTCGACACCAACCTCGACGCAGAAGAAATGGACAAGGAGTGGAATTCTTTGGGGGGCGGTCGTAACAATTCTTATTTGACTGCTGGGTTCGCGATTGCAAGGTCAAATTTTCATAAGTAGGTACACTAAATTCTGGATTGGACTGCATATTAGGCACATTACTTTCCGGTAGTCGGTCTTCGTTGGCCTTTTCCTTAGTGCTTATGGGGACGTACTGCGTTGTAGGTGTGACACAAGATATTTCAATAGCACCAGGGAGTTTTTCTATGAAGGCCGAGGCCATCATTCCTTCTAATTTGGAGATACGTGATTTGAGATGCAAATTTTCTTCACGCAATTTGCATATATCTTGCTTATTTATGTTGATAGTTTCGTCTTGCTTGGTGAGTTTAGCCAATAAATTTGATATTTCACATTCAACCTTCTCTTTAAAATTGTCAAATAATGCATTTTTTATAGTGGCGCTGTCGCTCTTGCATTGTTTAAAGGGGGTAGAATTTACAAATACTTGTTCCACAGTACCCTTCGTTACTTCACTGTGTCGGGAGTTCATAATATTACAAAATGAATCGTCAATAAAATTCTCAAGCTCCACAAGCGACGAATTATCAATAGGTGATATTATATCTATTTTGGCGACAGGAATCTCGGCTCCATAATCATTATTCTCGGTTGTTAGGTTGCTTACTTCGCTTATATCACCGGTGCAAGTTATTACTGAGACTTCAGCAGACTGTACGCCTGTGTCACTCTGATGGGGCAACATAAGTTCACTATTTAGGCTTACCAGTAATTCCTTTAAAGACTCCCCTTCGCTACCTTGGACAACTAATGTTCGTTGTTTGCCGCGATACCAAGTTATTGTCAGATCTGAGTTGCTTATAAACTTCTTAGAGTTCCCGCCAGGTGAAATCCATTTACCGCTCAACCCAACGGTATTTTGAATAAAACTCTCCAGTTCATCATAGTTGCCGTTCCACTTTAAACGTTTCCCATCATAGACAAGAGTGTTGTTGTTTTTATACGTTCGAATATCGTCCAAATTCACATTTCCAACATTAAATTTAGTATTGGGAATATCTATGGAGCTAACCTTAGCATGACCATCCGCCATCATAATAAGTATATATCAACAGAGTCGTAAAAACAGAGTCGTAATGAGGTTCCAGTCAGCGTAACTCAGAATTGGTACGTTGTCCCTTGAGGCAAAGAGTTAACCTCCGTTCTTTGGCTTAATAATGGATTAGACGCAAAGCCAATAAACAACCATTACCCGGACTAATAAAATTAATTGACGGGAAAAGATTTAGAGAATAAATAAGATTGTGAATACCGAGTAATACTTAGTTTATGGTATATAGTCATTTCTTTGTTTAGCACCACTTCTTCCTCACCCCCAGCCCTCTCCTGTAAGCAATTAATGTATAAAATCGTGGAGTGAAATTGTATTTGAAACTTGAAAGATAATTATGATATTTTACGGAAAATCACAGTACTCGATGTTGCATATTTAAAGAGAATAAAACGTGCAAACAGATTCTTTGTGTATATTAGAAATACCTCTCTCCCCCCCCCCCAAAAAAAAGATAAATTACGGTATGAGTTCTAGAACGTTTACAGGACCGTACGCAGAATGTTTTCATCAGCTGGGGGCAGTAAGGCCTATATGCCGAAAAACGTCACAAATATCCAATGAATAATTAATAATGATATTGCCTCCCCCTGCTGTGTACGGTCCTGAATGTTTAGGATTGTGATAATATTTAAAGCCTAAAAAACAAATTTGCTTGCAAACGTTATTTAATTGCTGTAGAATAAAATAACATCATATTTTAATTAATATTTTAAATAAGTTATTATTGTAATGTTGGCTTGGAAGTGTTCCTGGCGAGGGCTCGATACGGTACATTGCTCAGAATGTTTGGTAAACACACACATTGCTCAGAATGTTTGGTAAAATGCACAGAACACAAAAATATCATATATTTTTAAAATATTCCGATGTCATCTTGTTTTACTTCAGCCCTGTTTTCGCACATTTCATAATTTTTTCTTGTCCAGTCCCAGATCGAGATAAGTTTTTCTTATCTGCGCATGCGCATTACGTGTTTTGTGCTCAAGCGCATGCGTATTTGCAACACAACAATGGCGGTTCATGGATTCCGAAACACGAGGAAGCGTGAACTTTGAAGGGCTTATACTTCAATTTGTGCAACTATTTCGCTTGGGGGGAAGTGGATTCTAACTAAGTAAGTTATAATCTATAGATTCATGTAAAAATTATGTAGTTACACGAGGGGTGCTACGGAATTGAACATTTTCGACCCTCATCCAACGGCCTACTAGGCTTAACGTAAAATTACAAACTTTGGTTGCGAAATGTTGTAAAATGAGGAAAATATAGCCCTACAAAATTTGCAAATTTCGCACGGCTATATTTTCAGCATTTTACAACATTTCGCGGCCAAACTTTGCAATTTTACTAATTTTAACATGCTCTTTCTAGCTGTGGTGATGGATTTTGTTTTTCTTGCCGAGATAAAAATTTAGTCTATAGCTGAAATCATCCATTTAACCAGGAATAATAAGTTAGCCTATTTCTAGGTTACCCGGGAAAATTCAGAGTATGAAAGTTTTTTATAGTTATTTTGGTAAAAGTATAACGTGTTCACTATTGTAACAATCCTTTCTCCCCATCACGCAGGACACAGAGCATGCAAAACCAGACAAAGCTCGCAAATCGTCGAAAAAACCATCAAAATCGAGAAAGCCTCCAAAAGTAATCACGCAAGAAGATGTCTCAAACATTGACAATGATGACCTGTGATCTTGTCTTTATAATATTTAATGTCTACACTGCACACAACTTTAATTCTGGAAATGATGCAATGACACGAGAACTTTGGTGCAGATAGAGAACTGAACCGATTTATAGTAGAGACGATTGTCCGTCTGACCATGGATTGTAAAATAACTTTATTTTATTATCCATGGTCTGACAGATGATGCATCTTAGTATATAAACACAAAACGAACTCTCCAGGACAAACTAGCTATAGAATAGCATGATCTATATTGGCAATGGTACTGGAAACATCATGTCTGACAATTTTCTTGATCAAATTGTTTCTCGCATTACACTATCAAAGTTTCTGTGATCACAGTAGGAATTTTGCATACGTAAATTTGAAGAATTTGTAAGAAATGTTTGAGGGAACGGACTTATTGTTTAACACTAAGCCAGTTCCCTCAAACATTTCTTACAAATCCTTCAAAACGTAGACTTTACCTATGCAAAATTCCTGTAAAAAATAGTGTAAACCAGCTGTACTACCAACCTCGTACCCAGGATCTTTCCTCTCGGCGAGGAGAGAAAAGACCCTGGTAGACGCTGGTCACGTGATCTGCTAAAATCTAGCAGATTTTTAAATCTTTTCAGATATGCAATCTAAGATGAGGTCAATAAATATTTGATATTTGGATGTTTTTTACAGTTTAATTTATTATTTGCATTTCGTACGATTGTCGTAAAGGAATCCAAGATAGTTAGTTAGAAATCTGCTAGATTTTAGCATATCACGTGAGCAGCATCCACCAGGGTACGAGGTTGCTGCACAACGCAGACAAATTATCTCAGACAAATTGTCTTTTTGCCAAAGTTTGTCCAGCCAGATCTTCCTTCTCTAGTATAAATCTAACTAGGAAAGCTCTTCCTCAAAATATGTGTGCATATTGATCACTTGCATCGTAAATTTAATCACGTGCTTTAAACGTTTGATCACGTGGCTCGAAAATGTGATCCGAAATTTGACCACGTGATCCGAAAATTCCCTCACGATTAGAAATTCTTCATAAATACTTTTAGTGCGTGTATGGAAATATGTGCTAGTGTATAAATTGTACATAGCTACGCAACTATAGTGGTAAATAATAAAACATAATGATTAAATATACTGAATTAATATTATCAGCAATGTATATCAACTTTAGTTGTATTTACATTATACCATTTCATTCTTATGTTTTGAACATGCTGTTGTTAAAGTTTATAAGGTTTCAAATTTCTTTGGAATTGTAATGTAACAATATACAATCTTGGTGTTTCAGTAAATGTTTTTAATGATACTGCATGACAAACTGCAAATGTTTGGCAATGGGAGCAAGCAAATGATGCTACATGTTTATATTTGCATAGTGAACAATTTGGTCACTGTCTTTCATTTTTGAGTAGCCTGCGAGCAGGCTCTAGAGCCTGCTCGCAGGCTAATTTTTTAGTTGAACGCCATGTGCTTGCACTGTGAGCTCTCTCTATATATATATATATATCTGGAGTACGAACTTCAGTCATTCGGCCTAGGCAAAAAAAAATATGTGGGTTTCTATTTCTTCTTGTAAAAACTTAGGTAGGGTAGGTCTGTTTTAACTTTTTTTATAAACTTTTTAATTCTCGTAACAACAGAACGCCATTTTGTTTAGTGAGTGCTTCCACATTCAAAGATAAATGTCCCTAATATTGCCTCAAATTTCCATTTTTCACAAACGTTTTCCTCTAAGTGGAAACACTTACAAGCATGATAAAAAAAAAACTGGGGTCCGGATTTCGGCATCTAAAAGCCAGGTAGGGTCGGGAACCCGGAAACCCACATATTTTTTTGGCCCTATGAGAAAAGTGAAGCCAAGATGGCGGCCATTGACGTCCAATATCTACGAAGGTCGTAAAAAGTTTTTGTACCAGTTTCCCAGCTAATTCCAGATTTTTATCGGATCGCATCGCTAAACAAGTTATCAGTTCATAAAACCAGTGTCACTCTTTAAATCGATGTCAAAACACGGCGCACTCCTTGCCAGCTTTGTGTTAACCGCGCAGATGGAAACAATAGAAATAGGGACTGGACCCGACGTCCAATTAGCCTTTTCCCAAAAGAGATCACAGTGCATTCTGGGATCGTTTGGAGGGACAAAATATATGGTGACAGGCGTCAAATATGTGAAGGAGTAGAAGTATCTATTAGAGGTGTGCAAATCCGATCGGATTTCGGAACAAAAATATACATTTCGGATCGGATTGATAAAGTTGTTTCGTAGTCGGATCGGACTTCGATATTCTAAATAAAATGAATTAATTATCCATGCATTATCGCAAGAATTAATTATCCATGCATTTATCAAAGCATCATCGCGGTTGTCGCTGCATTATTCGTTTGATACTTCAATTGGACGTCACTTTGTCAGCTTCTTGACATGTATTTCTTGCTTTTATATTTATTTGGTTAAATATTTCAACTTGAATGAGAAATTTATTTTATTAAAGAATTCTTCGGATCGGATCGAAATTCTTTATCAAAGCTCGGATCGGATTAGACAATTTCGGATCGGATTTCGGAACAAAAATATACATTTCGGATCGGATTGATAAAGTTGTTTCGTAGTTGGATCGGATCGGACTTCGATATTCGAAATAAAATGAATTAATTATCCATGCATTATCGCAAGAATTAATTATCCATGCATTTATCAAAGCATCATCGCGGTTGTCGCTGCATTATTCGTTTGATACTTCAATTGGACGTCACTTTGTCAGCTTCTTGACATGCATTTCTTGCTTTTATATTTATTTGGTTAAATATTTCAACTTCAATGAGAAATTTATTTTATCAAAGCTCGGATCGGATTAGACAATTTCGGATTAGACAATTTCGGATCGCATCGGATTTTAAACATTAGCCAATTGTCGGGTTATAAACGTCCAATCCGATCCGATGCACA